CCCCACCTAGAGCTAAGTAAGATTGGTACTTAAAAATTCACTCTCTAGGAGAGCTGCTTAAGTTGAAGTTGATTGCAATAGTATAAGTGCCATTGAATGGGACAAAGATGCAAAGGAAAGATGTCATACTCAGGTCTAGATTAGTACAAAGAAAACAATTGTTTGCCCTTGTCTGGGGCTGAGTAAGACTACTGTTGAAAGTTTGATCTTTGAAGGATTTATCCCAGTCTGTCCCAACTTTGTTTGGGTGCAGCAGTACTGAGGTGTTGATGTGATGATACTTAAGAAATTCTGTGATTGCCAAGAAAAAGAATTGGGCATCAAAAAATTTGTTAGGGCGGTTTCCACTAAGCAGTTCTACTTGGCTCAAATCCATTTTAGTGGCCAAACATAACTCCACCAAGCAATCCCACTTGGCATGTTTGAGTGCGGACCAAAACTAAATTATGTTCGGTCATTCCGAAACTTTTTCCGTTTGGTTAAAACCAAAGCTAATTCCGTTTGGTAAACACAAAAGCTAAATTTGTTTATTTTGAAATATGCCTTTATCACTTAGGTTATAAAGTCCAAGTTAAGCAATAATCTGTTCTGACCACAAAGCTATACAGGTGCTTGGAAACAAAAGTTCAGAGAAAAAATGAGGGGGGGACATTTTCATTAAGCAAAAGATAAATGCTTTTACACTTGATAGATAATTGCGGGATTTAGTCTATTGATAGTACTTTTTGAGGTTTGCTACATTCTAGGGCCGAGGTATGGCCTTGCCCTTGATATCCTCCAAGTAGTATGCTCCATTTCTAGCAACGACTGTAACCTTATATGGACCTTCCTAGTTAGGTCCTAATTTTTCTTCACCAGGCACTCTTTTATGATCCATGACTTTCCTCAAAACTAGTTCCCCAGGTGTGAACTGCCTTGGAAAAATGTTTTGGTTGAAACTCTTGATGAGCTGCTGCTGATAGGCTACAAGTCTGATCAGTGTTTCTTTTCTTTGGCCTTCTGCCATATCCAGTGCTTGTGCAATAGCTTCCTCATTACTTGCATTTTCAGACAGTTCCGATCGGAGGGTTGGGAGACCAACTTCAAGTGGAATAACAGCCTCCATTCTGTAAGTTAGGAAGTATGGTATTTCTCCTGTTAAGCGTCGTGCCATGGTTCGGTAGGCCCATAACATGTGGGGTAACTCTTTAACCCACTTCCCTTTTGCACTTTCGAGCCACTTCTTTACTCCATTGATGATGGTTTTGTTCGACGCTTCTACCTGCCCATTCCTCTGTGGGTAACCTGGAGACGAGTTTCGATATTCGATCCTAAGGTCGACACAAAATTTTCTAAAGATCTTTTTGTCAAACTATGTTCGATTGTCTGCAATTAGTACCCGCAGGATGCCAAAATGGACCACGACGTTCCTCATGACAAAACGCTTTGTGTCTGCTTGTTTGATGCTTGCCAATGCTTCAACATTAACACACTTGGTGAAATAGTCAGTTGCAGCAATGAAGAATCGTCTGTTCCTAGTGCCCCGTGCCAAAGGTCCAACGATATCCAAACCCCACTGAGCAAAGGGCAACGGGCTAGTGAGTGGAGTGAGAGTTTTGGCTGGCTGATGAATTAGTGGAGCAAACCTCTAACACTTGTCACACTTCTGAACGTATTACTGTGTACTTGCTGCATTCTTGGCCACCAGTACCCATGAGTGAGGGCTTGGTACGCCAATGACCTTCCACCAACATGGCATCCACAAATCTCGTCGTAAATTTCGTAAAGAACATTTTTGACTAGATTTGGATGCACGCATAAAAGGACCGAGATGAGAGCGTCGGTATAGCTTCCCAGATGGTGAGACCCAAAACTGAGCTGATCTGTGTCGAACTTTGTTGGCTTCCTTCTTGTCTTCGGGAAGAGTGCCAGTTTTCAGAAAAATAAGTGTCAGATTCATCCAGCTCGATTCTAGGTTATTGTAAAGGACTGGAGATGCAATGCTTGGTTCTGGCACAAACTCAACCCAAACTTTTCTAGCATCTTTGGCATCTACTGATGAGCCGAGGCAGGCTAGTCCATCAACGTGGTTGTTTCTGTCCCGATTGATTCATCCCACTTGTATGGATTGGATTTTTTTAAGTAGATCCCTTACCCTATCTGCATACATGGCCATTCTTTCGTCTCATGTTTCATAGACCCTAGTGAGTTGGTAGACAACCAACTGAGAATCATTGTAAACCAGGAGTTGTTCTGCCCTGAAATGTTCGGCACTACGTAAACTAGCTAACAGTGCTTCGTATTCCGCTTCATTGTTCAAAGCCTTCCAACCAAGCCTGAGAGCTTGCTCCCAGATAAATTTTTCTAAGGATATAAGTACTACCCCTGCCCCGAGCCTTGGTTATTGGACGATCTGTCAATGTAGAGTTGCCAGATGTTACCAATAAAGAGTTTTCATGCTTCTGAAGCACATTGCTTTCCTAGTTCGGTGCTGCGTGGCACCTGTACCAAGCTGGAGTTTTGGTGTTTGGTGCTCTGGATGGGAGCGAATTCAGGGACAAACTCCGCCAAGACCTGGGCCTTGATTGCTGTTCTGGGTTGATATCGAATGCCAAACTCACCAAGATCAACCGCCTATTTCGCTGTTCAAACGGAGAAATCGGGTCGGTTAAAGACAAATCTGAGGGGGAATTTAGTGAGGACATTGATGGTGTGACCCTGAAAGTAATGTTGTAGCTTCCTTGAGGCGATAAGTAGCGCGTAAGCCAGCTTCTCGAAGGGTAGGTACCATGTCTCGGCATCTATGAGAGTCTTGCTAACGTAATACACCCGCATATGTTCCTTCTCAACCTCGCGAATCAGTACTGAGCTTACGGCGTGATTTGATACAGGTATAGTTCTTTCCTTGGTTCTGGAGTAGACATGAGAGGTGGTGTACTGAGATACTTCTTGAGGCCTTGCAATGCCTCGGTACATTCAGGACCCCATTCAAATGTAGCCTTTTTCCTTAGTAACGGAAATAAAGGCTTCATTCGATCTGAAGACTTGCTAATGAACCGATTCAGGGCGGCTACCATTCCAGCCAGCTTCTGTAGCTCCTTAGCCTCTATTGGTAATTCGAGCTCTTGTATTTCTTTAATTTGATCTGGATTTGCCTCGATTCCTCAGTGAGTCACCATGTACTTCAAGAACTTCCCTGTTCCTAGCCCGAAAGCGTATTTCGAGGCATTAAAGTGAAGCTAATGGTTTTTCAGTATATTAAATACTTCTCTCAGGTTTATAAGGTGGTTTGTAGCAAGCTTGCTTTTCACTACCATCTCATCTATGTAAGCTTTCATAGTTCTTCCGAGCTACTCCTTGAACATTCGAGTGATCATTCGCTAGTAGGTTGCTCTGGCATTCTTAAGGCCGAATGACATTACTTTATAGTTGTAAGTGCATCTTGGAGTAATAAATGTTATTTTCTCTTGATCTGGGCCGACCAGTGGTATATGGTAATAACCGTTATAAGCGTCGAGAAAGCTCATACGCTCATATCCTGCTGTTGACAGGTAAAGTCAACGCAGACTCTCCATTTTCCGTTCTTCTTTTTTGCTACAACTGTGTTGGATAGCCATTGTGGGTACTAAATTTCTTGAATTGCCCCGGACGCTAGGAGCTTGTCGACCTCGGCAATTACTGCTTTGGTAGGCTTAACTAAGGATCTTCGGCAGGTAAAGTCAATGCAGACTCTCCATTTTCCATTCTTCTTTTTGACTACAACTGTGTTGGACAGCCATTATGGGTACTAAATTTCTCGAATTGCCTCTGACACTAGGAGCATGTCGACCTCGGCAATTATTGCTTCGGTATGCTCAACTGAAGATCTTCGACTTTTCTACACAATGGGCCGAGCGGAAGGGTTGATGTTGAGTTTATGGCAAGCAAAATATGGATTCAACCCTGGACTATCATATGCTAACCATGTGAATACCTCCATATTTTCCCTTAGCAAATCCAGCAACTGAAGTTTCTCATCAGCGCCTAGCGAGGTACTGATAAGGAAATACTTTTCTGGGTCATCTTCCTTCACTAGGACTTTTTCCAAATCCTCTACTATCTTCTCCGCTGGGGTTCCTCCGACATCCTCCAAGACCGGCTGTTCGGCTACTTCAATTGTCTGTACCCGATTGCAGAGTTGCTTAGATTTCATGGCTGTCATGAAACAATGTTTTGATGTAACTTGGTCCCCTGAGATCTGCTCTACTCCGTGTTCCGTTGGGAAGTGGATGAGCTGGTGGTAGGTTAAGGGGACTGCTTCCATTTGATGAATCCAAGGATGACCGAGTATGGCATTGTAAGAAGATGGTGTATTAATAACTAGGAATTCTATCTGTAGGGTCTTTGTCCCAGCCACAACTGGTAACACTATCTTGCCAAAGGCCATTCAGGCTGTGAATTAAAGCTGACCAATGGAGCTACCGCTGGGGTGACGTTCTGTTCAGAGAGACTAAGCTTCTTGAACAAATCGTAATACAATATATCTGCTACGCTACCTTGATCTACCAAGACTCATTTTACGTCAAATTATTTCCCAATTCCTACAGTTATAATCAATGCATCAGTATGTGGGTGCTAAATACTTTCTAAATCCGTCCTAGTAAATGAAACAATGCATAAGGGAGGCTGAGGTACTGTTCGTACCTTTTTTGGCAGGGGACCTACTGACATGACTTGTTGAATCTGCACAGCTTTTGCAATTTCTTCTTGAAGCGCCTCTTCGCGGTCGTGGCTAATTGTACCATGAATTACGTTTATTACCAACCGAGGCGGATGCTCGATGTTCGGTTCTGGTAGAGAGTTCCCTTGTTCGGTCACCACTTTGTCCTGATCAATGTAGTTCGGAGGTGCCCAGCAGCTACCAAGTCTTTCAGGTGTTACTTCGACGCTTTGCAATTCTGAGTCACATGCCCCTTGTCTTAGTGCTAGGTGCATCTGAGCTTTTGGTTGCACTGAGCTGGATCTCCCAACATTTTAGGTAGCTAAGTAAAGAATGATTCTCTCTTGATTTTTTCCGTAATACGATAGATTTGTTCCTTGAATACAGTCACAACTGTTTCATGAGATTTAGACTTGCCTACTTCATTCGTTGTGAGTCCTTGGTGTTCCCCTCGGTCTGCTCTTGTTTTGTTTCGGGTTGTTTGTTCAGTTGATGCTACCTCGATGGGGATCTGATTATCTTCGAGGCGAGCATACTGTTTAGTCTTGCCGCGTAAATCTTTCAGTGCTGTGGTTGGGTGCTTGGTAAGTGATTGTCTCAGCTTACTTTCCGGACGCAGACCGTGTTTAAAAGACATTACAGCCATTTGTTCACTGCAAACGTTTTCCTCCAGATCATTATATTCCTCCCAATACCTTCTAGCATAATTACGCAGTGTTTCCTCATGTTCATTTTGGAGACCGAACAAGGTATCTGGCTCTTTTGGGATCTTAGTGTTGGAGACGAATCTGGCGAAGAACTCTTCAGAGAGCTGCTTCCAGTCGTAAATCGATCCAGCGGGGAGACGATCGAACCATCGAAGTCTGAATTCTTCCAAGCTAGATGGAAAGACTTTGCACATCGGTGCCTCGTCGCGGCTCCATAAGGACATCATTTACCGATAATGACTGATATGTGTTAGTGGGTCTGACTTCCCATCGTATGATATGAACTTTGGTGGAGTGAATTTCTTGTGGGGTCTCATAGCTTCGATTTCTGGGGAGAAAGGAGAGGAGACGAGCTGATCCAATACTCGGTGCTCTCTCTGATGGACAGTACGGTCAAGGCGTTAAGCCAGATGATCTCGCCGTTGCTCATTTTGTCAGTTGTCGATCAACCAAGTACACAGATCCTGAGGAGGATACTATGTCTGCTAGCTGGCTGTTTTTTGCCTCTTAGCCTTTCTCCGGCGTGAACCACGGGTGTGGTTGCTCACTGCTTCACTTTGTACCGGGATAGGCTGACTTTGCAGCCCAGATTCATTTCTGGGGGCCTTCTTCACTAGTGGTTCATGAGATGGCCTTTTTCATTGCTTCACTTTTACTTTTTAGAAGAAAAACTCCTCTATGTGCCTATATAAACCGCGTTTAGTATTTTTCATTTAGAATTTTCTTCAAGAATTAAGTTTAAAATTTCATTTTCTGAATTCAAAAGAGTAGTCTAACACTTAGAGAAATCTTGATTGTCTAGTACCTTTGTACATTTGACTTGGCCATTATAACCCAAAGTTTCAGCAAGTCACAACTAGTACCTAAACCTGATCTCCTATTTCTGATCTGATAAAGATTGAAGACAAAATGTCTCACCGAATAAATACTCTTTAAATTGGATTATGATCCTCTCCATATTTGTAATGGAGGATCAAATCCCTTTAGATTTATCTTCAGATTTAGACAAATAACAATGATAGAAAACTTTAATTTTGAAATTTTAAAGAAAGTTTTAATGATGTGGCAAGAGAAAAAAAATGAAAATATAAACACACACGTTACATTATATATGGGTCCCACTCCTTATTACATTACTAAAATTCTCTTTAAAACTTTAAAATTAGAACTCTCAACCTTTATTTTTAGACAAAAGTTCACTCTTAATTTTATCTTTAGGGTCCTTGATGGCTACTTTATCCAATAAATTAAAGAAAAAAAAAAAACAAAGCTCACAACAGATGTAATCATTAGTTGTTCAAAAAAACAAAAAAACAAAAAAGTGTAGACGTCCCCGAACGCCCCGGGGGAGGACCCCCGTTCTGTTCATTTGGGCTCACTACAGTTCGGACTCTCAAATTGTCATGGTTCTTAATCTGAACCAAAGAGTCCAAATCTGGCAAATCATTTTTGAAAACAGATTTTTTTGAAAGAAGTGCCAAACATGGACTGCTTTACCAGATACAAAGTCGCCACCAAAATATTTTATTTTGGGAAATTTAGGAAACCCTGACTCGTTTACCTAAGGCCACATGTCCGTCATCACCAAAGTTGCCTCAGCTCGGGAACTTGGGTACGATTGCGGAAGGTCAGCTATGAGCATCCCCGCTCGCCCGATCCGAAGATCGGCCTCTGCTAACCATGATATCGAGTTTTGAAAACATTATGCGTTCTTATTCGGTTATTAGCCTAGATTTACTATGTGATGCGCACAGCATACAAGTATAGACTGGGTCACCTGAATTGGAATAAAACATTTCATGTTTGTTTTGAAAACTGTTTGCTACCCATGAGTAGGCTTAAAATGCAGATTTTGCCACCTTTGGGTGGGCTTAAAACTCACAGTCGATGTATTATTCCAATTCAGATAATCCAACCTTCACCCACAGGCATTCAAGCAGATATATCATATAAGCACATAGCCTCATTGTAATACCCCTGTTCCGTAATATGCCAATTGGTCCTTAAACTGAGTATGATTATGTGTTTACCATGATTTTATGTGCCATTATGTGAATATATGTGATTTTGAAGTTTTATCTGTTCACCGTAGGAATATCTGTTTGAATAATCAGCTTTGGAAATTTAATTGAGGGCCTTATCGGCCATAGAACCCGAAATTGATTACGCCATTGTGATTGGCATAATTTTTAGAGCCTACGGTGAAATTTAATCGAAAAATTGATTCGGGCCAGATTAAATTGAATTATTTAATGGCATTGTGCTCAAATTGTTTAATATCTTAAATGTGGCTAGTGGGGCTTCTTGTATTTGAGCACTACACTCCTCATTCTCTCACATACCTTCATTTTTGGCTGAACAAACTCTAAGAAAGGGAGGAGGTCGGCTGTTAGAGAGAGAGTGAGGGAGAAAGTTGTGTAATTTTTGGCCCAAGGTTATGAATTTGAAGTCCAACTCAAGAACTGACCATAGATTGAGCTTCTAGGTAAGTGATTGTTTATGAATTCATGAGTTTGAACTTGTGATTTTGTGAATTAAAGGTTAATTGGTGATCAAGAACAAGAGTTGTACTCTACTTGATGAATTTGAAGTTAAAATGCACATGCATGTATAGAATCACCATGGTTTTGCATAATCAAGCATGTATTGGGATGAATATAGAAATATGAGTGTTAAATCCTACATGCAAGCATGTTTTTGTTGTGTTCCATGAGAATGAACACCATTTGCATTGATTGGAATAGAAATGGAGCCAAGAATTGACATGCATGCATGATTGATGAAGATATGAAACTTAAATGCATGAATTTAATGTATTGGAAGTAAGTTTGGTATAAGTTGGGTTTGCATGTGATTGATTCATGGGAATTGAGTTTCAATATGTGGTAATTTAGTGTCTATATCATGTTAGTACACATATATATGAAGTTTGAGCCGAAATCATGCATTTGGGGCCCTTGAATTCGATGTTGGAACTCAAGAACACAGTTCTGGGTTTTCCAGAATTTCGATGTCCGCTCGAGCGGGGTAATGGCCGCTCGAGCGGGAAAATCGTGCTCCCAGCATTTTTGCAGAGTTGGATGTCCGCTCGAGCGGGGCATATCACGCTCGAGCGTGGAATTTTGTAGACAGGCCTTCCGCTCGAGCGCCCTATTTAACGCTCGAGCGTAATTTTCATGCAACCAGTACTTTTGCAGGCCTTAAGGGTCCGCTCGAGCGGATAAGTCGACGCTCGCATTAGTATGCCAAGTATGCAACAAGGTCATGTGATGCCATTAGCTAAGCAATATGCAAAAAGGCAAACAAGATATAATGCAAGCCTGCAACTAATGTAATGCAATATACATCATGCCAAGTATGCAATTATGTACAAGGGTGGTCTTAAACTAAAATGGGAGGCCTCAGCCATGGCCCAAAACAGTGGCCAAAGATGGTGCAAAAGAGCACCAATTATGCATGCAAGCATGCACACAACAAGGTTCATCATCTAAGCATGGAAGGGGACAACTCTAGGCATACTTGAAGGCGATATACATAGACATTAAAGACTCATGTTAAACTCTGAAAAGCATGCGAAGAATGATGCCAAAACATGCTAGGGAATGGGTGCGAAATAGAAGGCATTCAAGGCCACAAAAGAGAGCACTGCTCAACACCTATCCCAAGCAAACATGGTATTGGCCTATGCAACCAAAAATAGAGTTACAATGCACCAAAATAAGTCCCAAAACCCACTGTTATGGCAGCTCAAATGACTCAAACACATAGGCATGCACAAAAGCCCAAACATGGAGCATGAGACCACACCTCTTCAAGGCATAAAAGGGGAACAAATGCAAGTATGTAAGCACAAAACATGGACTGAAATGGCATGGGAAATGATTCCAAATCACTAAAACAACCCAATTCAAGCATGCTCATGACTCACACACTCAAGGCACACAAGCCAAAATGCAAAGAGGCTATACAAACATGGCAAATATGATCAAATCAGTGCCTAACAGACCTCGAGCATGATGAAATATGACCAAGAACTTCACAAAGTTAGGCAAGAACATGCAAGCATGATGGTCTTAAAGGCAAGATGCATTTCTAGGCAAAAAGGAGGAATGCAAAGCAAGTAAATTATGCATGCAAGGGGCCATTAATCCGACCAAAAAAAGAGATATAATATGACCAAATAACACCCAAAAACCTCTGAAATGAAGCCGAAAGCCACTAAGCATACATGCTACCCTTATGAGCCAAAAATGCAAACAAAAGAGGGACAAAGGAAGAGGGGTGTCCCTCCTCTATGCAAGACTTCAAGACCCCTTATTCACCACTGAAAATCCACTGGATTTCAGTGGTGAGAAGGTCAATACACAAAAGTCCCCAAAGCTTAACAAAGAGAGCACAAAAAGGGCCAAACAAGGCCTAAGAGGGGGAGGCCGACCCCCAACACCAAAATGACCTTAATGAAAGATTTTAATCATGTAAATACAAGAATTTTTTCAGTTATACACAAAGCTTAAATCAGTGTGCAAGATAGGTCAAAGACTAGTGCAAGATTGGGGAAAATAAAAGTGTTACCCTTGAAGAACACTTCAAGAACAGCAAGTGCAGCCACCTTCTTCTAATCAAAACCAGCTCAAAACTTGAAGAACAAACCCTCAACACCTCCAAAGTCGAAGCATGGTGTAATACTATGTGTTCTAGTGCAAAACTAAGAACAAACTACACTTTTAGGCCCTCAAACACACACAAATCAAGAGAAAGAGGGTGATATATATCAGAGATATATGTAATTAGGTCTGGTTTTGCTAAACCTCTCAAATGGAGAAGAGAGGTCTCCTTATATAGACAAGGCAATGGTGCTAAGCTTCTTAGAGAAGCTAATATAAAAGGGTCAAGGGGGTCAAGCTTCTAAGGGAAGCTAACCCAAAGGTCCAAGCTTCTTGAGGAAGCTAAGACAAAGGGTCAATCTTCCTCAAGAAGCTAGACCAAAAGAGGTTAAGCTTCCATGAGAAGCTTGAGTAAAAGGGTGTAAAGGTTCAAAACAGCCACACACGTGTATGGGGGGGAGGGTCTGTGCACTCCAACTGGCACAGCTGGCTTGCACCATGCCTGAAAAAGGCAAAAAGGAGGTACCGGCTAGAAAATGAGACAATCGACCAAATAAATGGTCGGCCTGCTATTTTGCTGGCCGGCCGACTAAATTGGTGGCCGGTACATGGCTTCCAAG